AGAACCATATCTTCAACAAGATTGCCTGCTCAGAAATCGAAGAGGCACCGCTCCCCAAACTTCGAGAAGTCGGATTTCATTGGATAAAATTTGTCCACAATCCTCACACGCAACATCAGCTTCCTGGATACCACAGACCACTTTGAAAAAGTGCTCTGACAAAGTTAAAACACGGGAACCTTGCAGCGACCACTACATTGCTTTGACCGAGAAGGGTAAAGGAACAACATTACCACTCGCTGTTGGGACAAATCTTATATATATTGACCTCCATCCTCCACAGCCAGGCAGACCTGCCAAATAAAAAGAAAATATGCTCAACCCTTCCTCACATCCGAAATGGCACTCCCAATCTAGCCTCTCGAAATACTCTGTTTTCTTCTCCTTTGATAATACCCATGCCAACCAGCCACATTAGAGCAAGAATATCTCATATCATCAGGGTTGAAAGAAAGAGTATCCCATATCACGCTTTTTCCCTGTCTTTTCCTTTGCCCTTGCTCTTACCTGCAGGACAAGAAGAAAGAATGTAATCAGTAGGAACCTGAAATCAAACTTCCGATCTAGAATTGATTGCCCGGAACCTTTGCCTAGTCGCTTGCCTAGCATTGCTCTCGAGTACTCATCCTCAATTGTTGTCAAGGTCATGAATTCCTTTGGCAAATACCTCAAAACAATTGGTACGATATTGGCTCTTTACACTGAAGCTGCCAAGCATGGATGAGTCACTGAGAAGTCGTGCTCTGAAGGACCATTTAAATGAAAAGGTTGTGCACCATTTCTGCTATACAAAAGATTGAAGCAGAAGGTTCAACGGCTAGCTAGAACAGATCACTACAGTACGACGCTCTTCTTGTGGAACCGCACAATCCAGACAAAAGAGTCTAAGTCAAATCCAAGCTTGGCAGCATTGCTCTATTTGAAGAGATCGAGAAGCCTCAACAGCCTTTTGCTAGCACTGTCGTCAAAGAACAAAGCTTCGCCATACCACATCTACTACTTTGTCAAACAGCAAAAGTATCCCATATCATCAGGATAGAACATACTTCAGGTTTGACGGACTTGTTTTGACCCTCAAATTCTGGAGTCGACTCGCTCATTTGGAGGAAACCAGAAAACCCTTCAGCCCAGTTCAAGAATACACATGTGGAAAGTCAAGTACAACAAAGCACGTGCCGATTCATCTGTCTTCTCCAAAAACAAGAGTACCTCATATCATCTCTTCTCCCTGTTTCTTCTCTTTATCCTCATTGCTGAATGAGAGACAGGGAGAATGAGTACAATCAGCATGAACCCAAGATCAACCTACTGATCTGAGACTGATTGCTTGAAACCCTGATTGCTTACCTTCTCTGTCACCTCCCTTGGCAGATCTCCTCACTTAGAGACTTGGGGGACTCCTACTATATGGTTTGTATTGCACTTGACCAAACCCGAAACTACAAGTAAGCTTCAAATGAAAATGATACATTACTTTGTGCATCAACGCTAACTAAAGATACCACTCCTGGATGAAGGAAAAGTACTTCCAAGAAAAGATGCCACATCTACTTACACGATAGAGAAGGCTAGTGAAGGCGACACCACACTTCGGTACCTGGAAGTTTCGTGATTACTCAATGGCTTGGATCTTGCAAGTCCCCAACCGAGGAGCTTCCCTCACTCGGGAACTTAAGGGAGCATTGTTTGTACCATACTTGACCAATCCCGAAACTACTAAGCACCGGTCAACAGCATACCGTCAAGGACCCACAAGACTTTTCCTCCAACTAGGAGGCCAATCACAACACGACACATGTCGGTATCTGAGGCCAATCACGGCGCAACACGTGTCGATATCAAAGGCCAATCACAACACGACACGTGTCAATGTCAGAACAAAGCTAGAAACTCTCTTCTATAAAAAGGGATCATTCTCCCATAATAATCCCTAATGTCATTTGTACTAAACTATTCACTAGAACTCACTAAAAGAGAGCTTGAATCTATGTATTTGTGTAAACCTTTCACAACTAATGACCAGAGCAACCTAGCGAAGGTCATTTGTACATACTTATCCACACTGATGACCAGAGCAACCTAGCGAAGGTCATAAACTTCACACTTTCTGTTGTACCAAAATCCTCGCCGATTTTGTGCATCAATACAACCCATTAGAAATTTAGACAGCAACAAGTGTGAATTCTCTTGATGGCAGCAGCTGGAAATGACATCTAACACTAGCAAAATTCTGGGTTTAAGGGACAATTGTTCTTGCTACCGTGGGGTCAAAGCAGTTTTTACTTCCGTATCTTTTTTGAACCATGTTTGTCATTTCCCTTATTATTTCTAGGATCGTGCTACTCATCCCTGACGCACTCACGAATATGGCCACGCTGTAGCCGGTGGCCTCTTTTGGAGGACTGTTGGATCACTCGATGTTACAAAGTGAGGTTACGGTTGTTAGTGCCTAATGTAACTATATTTAAACTAAGAATATATCTTTATGTAGGATGAAAAACTTACACGATACGGATATACTGTCACGTAGTGTCCTTGTCAAGACATGTGGGCAAAAATTTACACATATTTTTGTTGAGAGTTGTCCCATATCGATGAGGGACAAGGTTTATTATGAACTTATATGGTCTTTGGATACTCCCCATATTGCCAATTGGTTTTATGGTGAAACCTCAATTTCATCATAATATCAGAGCGGGTTGTCCCCGTGTGAAGCCAAACGGCCACACACACTCCACGTCACCCAGTTGTTGTCCACGTGTAGGCTTGAAAATCGGCCACACGTGCAAGAGAGTGTTGAGAGTTGTCCCGCATTGGTGAGGGACAATGTTTGTTATGTGCCTATATAGTCTTCGACTACTTCCTATATTGCCAATTGATTTTATGGTAGAACCTCAATTTCATCACTTTTATCTTATTGGCACGCGACGCTACTGTGATGATGTATGCATTGCATATCCGTCTTTCTCTTTGTTTTGGGGCTAAGCTTGCTTCTTGTGCTCTTTGCCCTTTAGGACAGGAATAATTATACGTGTTGATAGCCTTCAGTTTGTTAAGCAGTAATTGCCTTTGGTAATTCCCTGGAAATTACCAAATGGAAGTTATTGATCAGCGAAGAAGCAACTTATAAGTTAAAAATAATAAAAAGATAAGGGTTAATGACAAAAAACTACCTTAAGTTTGGGTCAAATGACACTTTCATACCTCATCTTTTAAAATTGACAATGTCATACCTCATCTTACGAATTTGTGTCAATGTTATACCTTCCGTTAACTTGGCCGTTTATTTCTCAGTTAAATGCTGACGTGGCTTGATCTGGGACCCATTTTTATTAAAAAATTAATAAAAAATTATTAAAAACAAAAAAAATCATTTAATATTATTTAAATATTAAAATAATAATAATAAATTATTTAAAAAAAACCGTTTTTTTTTTTCTTCTTCTCTCTCTCTTCTTCTTCTTCTTCTTCTGCACGGAGACAAACTGGGTTTTTTTTTTTTTTTTTTTTTTTCTTCTTCTTCTTCTCTCTTCTTCTTCTTCCCTCTTCTCCCTCTTCTTCCCCCCCCCCCCCAACCTAACCCGCAGAAGAAGAAGAGAGAAGAAGAAGAAGAGGGAAGCAGAAGAAGAGGGAAGAAAAAAAAAAAAAAAAAAAAAAAAAAAACCCAGTTTGTCCCCGTGAAGAAGAAGAAGAAGAAGAAGAAGAGGGAAGAAGAGGGAAGAAAAAAAAAAAAAAAAAAAAAAAAAAAAACACAGTTTGTCCCCGTGCAGAAGAAGAAGAAGAAGAAGAAGAGAGAAGAAGAAGAAAAAAAAAAAAAAAAAAAAAAAAAAAAACCCAGTTTGTCCCCGTGCAGAAGAAGAAGAAGAAGAAGAAGAAGAGGGAAGAAGAGGGAAGAAGAAAGAAGAGAGAAGAAGAAGAAGAAGAAAAAAAAAAAAAAAAAAAAAAAACAACCCAGTTTGTCCCCGTGCAGAAGAAGAAGAAGAAGAAGAAGAGAGAAGAAGAAGAGAGAAGAAGAAGAAAAAAAAAAAAGTTTTTTTAAATAATTTTTTATTATTATTTTAATATTTAAATAATATTAAATGATTTTTTTTGTTTTTAATAATTTTTTATTAATTTTTTAATAAAAATGGGTCCCAGATCAAGCCACGTCAGCATTTAACTGAGAAATAAATGGCCAAATTAACGGAAGGTATAACATTGACACAAATTTGTAAGATGAGGTATGACATTGTCAATTTTAAAAGATAAGGTATGAAAGTGTCATTTGACCCATACTTGAGGTAGGTTTTTGTAATTAACCCAAAAGATAAACTTCCCACGGGCAGAAATTCAGCTTGACACCTCAGACGCGGCAGGATTTATATGTACTTTCTCTAGAACAAAGGAAAACTTGCATATGCAGTAATTGCCTTTGGTAATTCCCTGGAAATTACCAAATGGAAGTTATTGATCAGCGAAGAAGCAACTTATAAGTTAAAAATAATAAAAAGATAAACTTCCCACTGGCAGAAATTCAGCTTGACACATCAGACGCGGCAGGATTTATATGTACTTTCTCTAGAACAAAGGAAAACTTGCATATAATTGTCAACTATTCAAAAGTGTTCGTTGTCTGTGACTCGGTGATTTGGACAAAATGGTATTGTATACAATTATCTACTTTTTTAAAACCAGTCGCAATAGAAAAAAGTCGAATTCGCGGGTCCAGAGAAGCTAAAATTCTAACGGAATGGGAGTGTAGAAGGAACTTTCATTCCACCAACAGATACTTTCTAAGAACAAATAAGATAATGAAAAATAAGATGGTTTCGATGAGCCCTGAAGAATGGGACAAAATAGCAATTTAGGTAAATTTCCTTGACCTTTGCTTTGTGGTAATAAATTCCGTATCCTAATACTGACCTTTTGACATAATAAAATATGCCGACCTAAAAAAAAAAAAAAGACATAATAAAATATAAATGAAGGTTTGAAAAATGGGGCTCAACCCTCCTATAAATATAACTCTATGGAGACCAAGAGAAACCATAAAAGTGATCTCAATTTCTCAAGAGTGAGCATCAACAACGACTTCAACCAAATCAAGAGGAGATTTTTGCCTGCCCTCAAAAGATTGCCAGATCTTTAACCGCAAACAAGGTATTACTTTAACCAAAACAAAAATATCATGAAAATTTAAATTCTATTACATTGGTATAGTTAAAATCCAAACTATTTAGAAAAGTAAATTGGTTTTCGTTTTCCAAATTGATGTCAATTTTTTTGTGCCGAGCCAATCTTAAGCTCAACATAAACGAGCTTAGCTGAGCCAAGCATAAGCATGAACGTGGTCCATAAATGAGCCGACTTAGGAAAGGGGGAGTGATTTATACACACACTCTTTTCACCTTCTCCATTCCCTTCTTAATTCTGGACTCTGATTTGTGCGATCCAATACCTAAAAAAATATGCACTTTTTTTCACTTTCTGCATACCCCTCTTAATTCTAGCCACTGAGTTGTTCAATCTAATGGCTAAAAAATTAAAACGGGTTTTGCAAGAGGTGAAGAAGAGCGAACATCATTTCCAATTTGTCAAAGGAATTTGGTTATAAGACATTTTCCTATTTAAAAACTTTGTAGATGGAAGAGAATATGGAAGCTACTCCACAAATTGATCATATCAAACCAGCTGAATGTCGTCATGATTCCGAGGCCATTGCGAACGGTGGGCCTTGCATCCACAGGATTCCCAACAAACTTCGCAAAGTGAATGAAGCAGCATACACTCCTCAATTACTTTCAATAGGACCTTTTCACCATGGCAATCCAAAACTCCTGGACATGGAAGGCCACAAGAAAAGGCACTATGAAAATTTTCTCCGACGTTGCTCCAAGAGTGAGGCTACACTAACAAGTTTCATTGAGGCGCGCCAAAAAAACATTCTTCAGTGTTATGCAGGGGCAATTGAGCTTGCCACATTCAACATTGTGGACGTAATTCTAGTGGATGCCTGCTTCATCATTGAGCTGTTCTTGGCAAACTTCGAAAAGATACAAAATGAGTACTTATTTGGATCACCATGGCTACGGAAAGCGGTAGAGCAGGACCTGATTCTGTTTGAAAATCAGCTTCCATATTCAGTTCTTCTAGAGCTGTATGACTTTGCCAATCCGGCCTCTTCCATTTCCATTCCCCGGGAAGAACAAGCACAAAAAGTTGATGAAGTCTGTAGCCGTCACCTTGGTGATTCTGGAGCAATCGGTGTACTCGAAGCTCCATCCGTTGATAACTTTCTTGAGCTTACCTGTCAGTTCTTTAAAGATCACAGCAAGGGAAAATCAGTCAGAAAAGGAGTACAACCGAAACACTTCACTGATTTGGTAAGATATTTTTTAAGTCCAGATGAAACAATGACCTGGAGAGATGACAGTAGCAGGACCCCTATAAAAAATATATATAATATCAGACAGCTGACTGCCTCCGGGGTGAAATTTGTGCCCATACTTGAAGATCCAAGCTATGTCATAAGAGACGAGACTAATAAGGTGAAGTTCCACTTAGGTACTGGACATATGGACCTGAAGATCACACAATTTTGTGTGAAGTACGAGACAGAATGCATTGTCCGAAACGTCATGGCCTTGGAGCAGTTTGTGTATCCATTCAACACTTGCATCTGCAATTACTTTCTGCTAATGGATCAACTTGTGGACATTATGGAAGACGTTGATTTGCTGGTCAAAAACAAAGTCATTGTCAACTTGCTCGGAAGCAATGAAGCTGTGACAAAGCTGATCAACGGACTTTGTGTTAACATTATGGAAGAACAATCGTGTCGATATGCTGATATATGTAGACAACTTAATGAGCACTATGAGAATCGTTGGAACCGTACTCTGGCAACCATGAGGCAAGTTTACTTCAGGGATCTTTGGACAGCTAGTTCAACTTTGGTTGCACTTCTTATCCTGTTTTTCACAACCTTTGGATTCATTAAGTCCATCAGAGACGGTATTTAGCTTTAAGCTAAATCTGTATGGTGAAATTTATTAGTCATATTTACATTGTTTCGCAGATATAGCAACTCTCTTTCCTTTGTAAATTAGAGCTACTATTTAGTAATTTGATTAGGCTAATGACATCTTCTATAATGTCCACAATTCGAAGAAACCTCGACAGTACAAGGGTATTCTATGAATTAGAAAAAAGAGAGGTTACACCTAGTCATGGGAGACAAGAACTTTACCATCAATGACAATTAAAACAAAAAATTCAAGATACGAACGAGGCATAAATTAACCTAAACCTTTTTTTTTTTTTTTTTGGGGGTCAGAGATAGCACTCTATTAATGTAAGGGAAATTACAATTTGTGAAAGATGGGCCTAGGTTCAAACAAAACACAAAACCTTAAATTAAACAAAGCAAGACATAAAAGATAAAACAGATCCAAGCAAAATAGAGCTACAATCCAAAACACAAAGGAAGACTCATACATCTTTAGGCCCGTAGGCAACAATACGGAAAAAAAAACAACAACAAAAACCTAAACCTAAAGCATTCAAACGACCGTCGTTGCGGTTGCCCCAAATTGAAAAAAGTACTTGAACCAAAAACTAGATCTGAGAGTGTTGTGCAAAATCCATCCACAAAGAAACAAAGCCACCACATCCACACCAGCAAGAAAGGTCACAAAACATAATTGGAGGGGGGGGGGGTGGTAAAGGGAGTGTGTAAAACACCGTTGTTCCGACAGGAACGTTCCACACTTCGTCCAAATTTCCAGCAAGCTGGATTGGCAATAGGTTGGGAGGGTTAAGTCTTGTGTCAAAATAGAGTCCAATACTCCAAGATCTAAATCGTGATTATGGGTTGGAAAATAAAAGTGGGAGCAAGAGGAAGGACGGAAAAATGGGTGCAAAGGTGAGGGGAAAAGAGGTCGGCAGTGAGCAGCTTCTGAGTAAGAAGTAAGGAGAAAACTGAGTCAAAGGCTTAGAAATCTAAGACAGAGCTTAGAAGGGAACATAAAGAAGGAATACGGAAGAAATGATTCTGAAGCAAACGAAAACAGGGGGCTGCCACCGGATCCCAAAGCCAAAGGGCCTAGGGCTGGAGGCTGAAGATTGGCATTTCTTCTGGAAATTTTTAGGGAGAAAATAGGAAAGAAAAATACACTTGTGAGGAGTGTAGAATGAGATTTTTGGAGTGCCAATAACATTTCCCTTTCACTATTTCTAGCATTAAATGATGAGGGGACTAATACTACAATTTTTCTCTACTAATAGCCGTCTCTGGAGCTCTGTTTCTTCAAATTGACACCTTTTAGCCAAGTTAAGTTGTAAGTTTGCTTAGATAAACTGCATCGATTTGAAAATTCCAAGATCCATAGATTTGAGAGTGAAAACCCACTTTGATAATTGTCCACATCATCACTCAATGTTAGTGAACCTAACAAACGTTCACTTTTCACGTTAGGTAGTTATTTGGAATGTTTTGAAAAGTTAGGACTAATTTGGGATCTCCCCTAAATGTTGGGCAATTACTAGGACTTATGACTATTGTTTAGGGGTAAATAAAGCGGGTTTATGACAAATATAAGAATACTTCAATATCCTCACTATCTCGTATGCTTTATCCTTCTCCATAAGGATGTTTTTATAAGATTAAAAATGAGCAATATAAATCCAATTAAACCTTTGTCCACAAGACAAGAAAACATCAACCAAAACAAGTCAAATCCCTAAAAGACAAAAAACACTATTCCTATTGGTTTGTAACCATTATGACTCTCTACATTAGTGAGTGTGGTAGGAGTAAAAATTTTATGAGGAGCTCCTAAAATAACTTTTGAGTATTCTTAGAGCATCTTGAATGAGTTTCCTGAATGTGCTCCTAACTAAATTTTAGAAAATTTTCGGAAACAAAAATGTTATTTGTACTATCTCTTTAATAGAGATATGATCCACAAGTGTTGGTAGCACTACTAAGTTGGAAAAATCCACCTCCAGTCACATCCCCTCCTAAGATAAGGATTCCCCAGGAGCTCCTAAATCTAGTACGTGAGAAAGTAGCTCCTAACATTAATTACTAGTATTTTAATATTATTTTAATAAAATATATATACTAATTGATCCACTATCATTATGACCTCCTAAACTAGAGAGTGTGATTGAAGTTGAATTTTTTAAGGAATTCCTAACTAACTTTATAGCTAAAATTTAACTAAAAATAGAGAGCATGATGTTAGATGCTCTTAGTTAAAGTTTAATTTGGAATGAATACTTATTTTTTGCTTCCCTTGCTGGTTCTTGTGGCACTGGTGAAACAAAAGTATTTTTGAATAGGATTTTGCTCTCCCTATTGATCCAAATCTATTATTATTACCTACTTGAAAGATTGGCTTCAGGTGAAGATGGTTTACTCCATAAAGCCTGATGAGTCAATATTATATTATATATTTCACCCTATTCTTAGTATAATTTGGTAATTATTTTGGTAGAATGTTGATACTTTGCTTTATATTCTCAACGTAGGACATTAGAATTCCTCTGGAGCAAAACATGACCAAACGGACGAATTTTGGAGTGATTCAAATTGGAGGACATTCGTGTGTTCCTTAGCTTGTTCGTGTCAAAATCTCAGCAATTTCTACCAAGCGGTTATTTTCTGGAGATTAAATGAAAGAGTAGTGCGCGATGCTGGAAATTGACATTTATGGGTTTAAACTGCATTTTTGGAGCCCAAGATGACCTCAGATGGGTTTGTGGCCTTCTGGAGAAGTGTTCAGAATAGTCGAAGCTTTAAATCCAGCTATTTTGGGCCCATTTTGGAGCTGATATGGGTCCAAAACGTGGCTGTGCAAGATTTTAGGCGAATTTACCAATTTAATTTAGGATTGTGTTTCCTATTTTATTTTAATTTATTTAGTTCCCTAGTCTTATTCTAAGACCATTTTTTATCAGCAGGGTTTAATGAGGGTAGTATAAATAAGCCTTTTTGGCAGACCTAGGGTTTGGGAAGGGGGAGAGAGGAGAACGCATGCAACTTTTGGAGAGAAGATTTTGGGCAAAGTTTAGAGATTTTCAGATTTTATTCTACAAGGTGTTTTCATTCTTTTTCTATTTCAATAAAGACTATGATTTTTAGTATGAATATGCGTAACTAATTCTTTTTGCTAGGGCGAGGCCATGATCCTTAGCAAGAATATGTAGTCTCTTTTTACTTTGCTTATGAATTTATGCATGTAGGTTTTGGAATGTTAATCACTGTGCTTTAAACTATCTATTTGTCTTAGTGATTCGCGACCATTAGGATATTTGGAAAAGTTATTTGATGCAATTTTGGTGGAGGATTGTCCCTAAAATTGACTAAAGCTTCTTGTGGTTAATATGTGTAACCTCTTAGGATGGACGACACGTTTTAAGGGTTATATGGTTTTTTTTTAAAAGGTTTTCATAAAACTTAATTAGTCTTGCATGTTCACATTCGATCTGAACACCACGGACGGGTTGCATATTAGATATACGTTCTATGTTGGAGGTTCCAAGTAGGATATACTCTAGGAAAACCTAACCTTCAAAACATACATGTATGGTTCGTAAGTAATTTAGAAAAGCTACATAGGATTGTTAGGGTGACGGCAGAACCCTAGTACTTTCTCTCTTTGAATCCTAAAAATTGTTCCCCTTATCTTTCTTTAAAGTTGTGGTTTTTAAGTAATTTTTTAATTAAATTCGTTTTTCTTAGTTTAGGTCATTAAATCACCTCTTTCAAAAGAAAAACTTTGTTTTAATTAATTAGTTGAGAATTGATTTTGCTTTGATCTCTTTAAATTAATCCTTGTGGAGAACGACCTTGCTTGAGCCAATTATACTACAATAACCTTGTTTCTCTTGCAAGTATTTTAGGTGTTTTTAACCCTTTTACGCAGGTGGTAAAAATCCTATCAAAGCCCCTTCTAACACATGCTTTTCTTCATTTGGAACCCCCTCCTAAGGGTTGGGTAAAGCTTAACGTTAATAGGTGTCGCAAGGGGTAGGCCAATTTCATTGGTGCTAGCAATGTCCTCAGAAACTCGTTGGGGCACGGGTTTCTAGCTTTTGTGCTAATCTTGGTCGATGTGTGATTCTATGTGTTGAAGTTTGGGGTTTTCATTAGGCTGCAACTTGCATGGAACAATAGAATTAAGAAGATTATGGTGGAATCAAATTCTGCACTTGTAGTACAGTTGATTTTACATGCAAAAGTGGATAATCACCCTATGGGAAATATTGAATTGTCGCACCCTTATGCATCAAAGTTGGTCTATGTGATGATTCGGCTCGTTTGAGTTTGTCATGAAGTTTGGGTCTAATCTCTTTTTAGCAAGCTTCTCCTTCTTGTAGTCGGTTGTTAACTGCATATATAGCTGGTGTCGATTGGCCTCGTGATATTCTTATGTAACCTTTCTTTTTCTTTAGTACTTTTGCCTCGTCGTCACCCAAAAAAAAAAAAAAAAAAAAGTTTAACTTGAAAATAAGGAGTATGATGAGAGATGTGTGTGTGGATATGTAGTGAAAAAGTACTCTCCTTCACTAAATAAAAGAAAGGAAATTGTAATGTTCGGTTTAAGACTAGTTTCACTGGTGGAGGGAGAAACCGAAAAATGAGTGAATGATGAGTGGCCGTGGTCTCTTGGAAAGGAAGGAAAGTTTAGTGGAGAAAGGAGTAAATTGAATTTCCTTTGTTTAGGTGTCATTTGGTGCAATAAGTGTCAGTCAGATTCTAGACCAACGCAGGTGGCTACTCATCTTTCATTTCCTTCTCATCTGTTTTGATATTTTGTGATTTGGGGTCTTAGCATTTTGTAGGCAATTTCCCTGGATTTTTCTTACTATGACTGTGCAAACCCCTTTTGTGCTCGTCTGGTTCTAAGAGACTTTTCATTATCCTTTGTTCTTCTTCCTGTTCCCTTCCAATTCATGGAGGGAGAGGTCGGGTATTGTACAACTACTTAGCTGGTGTCTGGACCTCTTAATTTGAGCCTTTAAGCCGAAATCATGTTTGATGCTGAATTTATTGGTATTTATTATTGGGTTC